ATAAGGGTAAAAACATGAAAATAACTAATTGAAGTATTTCAGCAATTGAATGTTATTGGCAATCTGTCTCTAGCTCATTTCCTCAGTTGATTTCAGAGAAGTCTCCCTACAAAAGTGTCATTAGATGTGCTATACAGATCTCAGAAAAAGAACCGTGAACATTTTTATTGGTTCATTTGGTCTCAGATTTGTGATTCCCATTGACAGAGGGGATCTTGTGTTATAATTTAAATACTTATAAGATGTTATTCTGAGGAATCTTTTCTTTTGCTGAAGATGGTGGAGGCTGGGAGTAATTGCATAACTGCCCAAGGCCATGTACCTAGAAGTGGGCAGGAGCAAGTCAAAGGCTGCTTCTTAGATAATAAAGCCCAAACTTCCTCTCAGCTCCCAGGATGCAGGCTGCCATGTCCCATTGCATCAGACCTTGACCAATTCAGAGGACTTTTTTCAGGTTCATCAGATCTTTCTTGTCACGTGACTATAAATGACTACATCTCTCATTAGAGTGGTACATTTGTTACAACTGAACTGAAATTGATAAATTATTATTAACCCAAGTCCGTAGTTTACTTGAGAGTTCACTCTATGTGTTATACATTCTATGGATTTGACAAATGTGTAATGACATGTATCCACCAATTTAGTGTCCTACAGAATAGTTTCGCTGCTCTAAAAATTCTCAGTGCTGCACCTGTTCACCCCTCCCTCCCCAGGCCCCTGGAAGCCACTGATCACTTTGCTGTCTCCATCATTTTGCCTTCACCAGAATGTCATATAGCTGGAATCATGCAGTATGCAGCCTTTGAGACTGGCTTTTTTCACTTAACAACATGCATGTAAGGATCTTCCATGTCTTTACAGGGCTTGATAGCTCATTTATTTTTAGCACTGAATAATATTCTACTGTCTGGATGGACCACAGTTTATCCTTTCACCTATGGAAGGACATCTTGGTTGCTTCTAGGTTTGAGCAGTTATGAATAAAGCTGCTATAAACATCCATGTGTAAGTTTTTGTGTGAACAGAACCACACAAAAGTTTTCCATTCCTTTGGGTAAATACCAAAGTGTGCAATTGCTGAATCATTTATAGGGATGTTTTTAGTTTTGTAAGAAACAGCTAAATTGTCTTCCAAAGTGACTGTATCATTTTGCATTACCACTAGCAATGAATGAGAGTACCTGTTGCCCCACATCCTTGTCAGCATTTGGTGTTGTCAGTGTTCTGGATTTTGGCCACTCTAACAGGTGTGTAGTGATATCTCATTGTTGTTTTAATTTGTTTTTCCCTAATGACATATGATGTGGGGCATCATTTCATATGCTTGTTTGTCATTTGTATGTCTTCTTCGACAAGGTGTCTGTTAAGGTCTTTGGCCCATTTTTTAATTGTGTTGTTTGTTTTCTTATTGTGCGCAATCTAATGTAGTCTTTAATCTTTATTAATAAAATCTTTTCCCTTGTTTCTTTTGTAACCCCCCCCCCTGCCTTTTCAAATAAATTACTAGATTTGTTTTGCTAATACATTGTGTAAGGTTTCTTGCATTTATGTTCATGAGTGAGGTTTGGCTTATAACTTTCTTTTCTTGCAATGTTTTTATCAAGCTTTGATAACGAAGTTATTACGGCCTCATAAACCATGTTGGATAGTGTTCACTCTTAGTATATCCTTTGGTAATATTTTCCTGTAAAGTCAACTTTCTTGAGACTATGATTTTTTTTTTTTGGTATAGGTTTTTAATTACAGACTCAGACTTTCAAATTGTTGTAGACTGTTCAGATTTATTATTTCTTCTGTATCAGTTTTTATAAGATTTATTTTTTTAGGAATTTATGTATGTCATCTCTTCTTTTTTCTTTGGCTAATATCTCTAGGAATTGATAAGTTTTATTAGCTTTTTTTCAGCACACAAGTTTTGGCTTAGTTAATATTTTCTACTGTAAGTATTATTTCTGGTACGTTAATTTCTTCTTTTCATTATCTTACATTTTCTGCTTTATTTTATTTATTTTTAAAGTTTGTTTTGAGAGGGAGAGAGAGCAAGTGTGAGCAGGGGTGGGGCAGAGAGAGAGAGAGAGAGAAGGAGAGAGAAAATCTCAAGCAGGCTCTACACTGTCAGCACAGAGCCTGATGGGGCAGGGCTTGAGCTCACAAACCATGAGATCATGACCTGAACCGAAATCAAGAGTCAGATGCTTAACCCACTAAGCCACCCAGGTGCTCTTCTGCTTTATTTTTATTCGTTATGTTTTTATACTTTCTTGAGATGGATGTTTATCTCACTGATTTATAGTCTTCTTTTCTGATACTTACTCTAAAGTTACAAATTTGTCCCCAGTTGTGTTCTATGAGTTTTGACATGCCATTTTTTGTTAATTGAAGTATAGTTGACACATAATGATACATTAGTTTCAGGTGTACAACAAGTGATTAGACAAGTTTATGCATGATGCTGTGTTCGGCACAAGTGTAGCTACAATCTGGCACCTTACAACACTATACCGTTGACTGTATTTCCTAGGCTGTATCTTTCATTCCATGACCAGAACCCTTACCTCCCACTCCCCTTTGAACATTTTGTCCATCCTCTCACACCCCTGCCCTCTTGCAGCTATTAGTTTGTTCTCTTGTTCCACCCAGTTATGGGTCTGCTTCTGTTTTGTTTGTTTGTTTATTTATTTATTTATTTATTTAAATTTATTTATTTATTTTGAGAGAGACAGAGACAGTGTGAGTGGGGAGGGGCAGAGAGAAAGGGAGACGGAGAATCCTGCAGACTCTGTGCTGCCAGCTTAGAGAGCAATGTGGGGCCCAAACCCACGAAACCGTGAGATCATGACCTGAGCGGAAACCCAGAGTCAGAAGCTTATCTGACTGATCCACCCAGGTGGCCTGTCTAGTTTTTAGATTCCACATGTAAGTAAAATCATATGGTATTTGTCTTTCTCTGTCTGGCTTATTTTACTTAGTATAATACCCTCTAGGTTCATCCATGTCATCATAAATGGCAAGATCTCATTCTTTCTTATGGCTGAATAATATTCCATTATATATGTGTGTGTGTGTGTATATATATATATATATATATATATACACACCACATCTTTATCCATTCATCTATTAATGGACACTTTGATTGCTTCTGTATCTTGGAATTCTAAGGGACCCTTTTTCCCAACATCTTCCACAGCCAAGGTCAAGAGAGTCATGTATTCCTATTTCCCAAGGGTGAAAATCCTTGGTAGGGGGAGGAGTTTCAGATTCAATTTGAGTCTCTGCCATCTTACCTTGTTTTTACAGATTTGTTTCCAGTCTTCCTTAGGCCTGTGAAATCCTAGGCTCTACACCTCCTGGAGTAATGGTAGGCCAATGTCTGCTTTTGGCTCTTACACAGTTCTTTCCCTACCAACTCAGCCATGAATTAAAAAGAATTTAAAAAGATTTCATGCAGAATTTTAAGTTTTAGGGCTGTTACAGGAGCAGTTTCTATAAAAGTCTAGTCCGCCATGTTGCTGGCAGAAGTCTCCCCCTTGTCATTCTATAATTTGTGATTCTAAGATGACTTGATTAGTGACTATTATATTATGATTACATTTGTTACACACCAGCCGTTCCCTATCTGCATGTACCTAGGTCTACACGAGTCCACTAGATTTTGAGTAAAAGAAGGGGAAATTCAGCCATTAATCTGGAATTTCAGTACATTGTTAACATCAAACATTTAGATAATTATTAGATACGTCATCATTTAGATGTGCCATGTTGTTTAGACACAACGGTTTTTATGTCCTGACTTGCCACTTTTGTTTTAGATTTAAAAATAACTCATCCATTTTGGTTTTGGCTCATCTTGTCCTCTCACTGCTGCTCTATCTTTTGTTTAAAAATACCAACTGCATTTTAAAAATAGGAGGCATTATTTTAAAACTAGAGGTTAGTATAAGAGTACAGTTAAGCTGTGGTGGCATATAATTCTGATTATAATCAATTCCCTTCTTGGCATATTCTTTTGAGGATGGGATGACCTAGCAGAAGGCATTAGTACCACCAGTTACACTGATACACTACTGAAATGTTTATTTTGGAGCATTAGGAAAAAACTTGGAAACCAAAGAGTAATTTACGATTGTTAGGGAGTTCACTGAGCCATTTCGGTTATAATTTATTAATCCCATTTTACCCACAAGGAGTTTTAATCAGATGATTTACCAATATATTGAGAAGTGCCACAAACTAGGAGAAAAATAGAAGCAAACATATTAGTTCTTATGAATAAACCAAGCTTCTTCCTCGAATTTTCTTCAGACAGTTTCTAAATAAAGAGATGTGCCAAGTTTACAGTAGAGGGGCCATTGCATTTATTGTTCCATTATTCTACAAGTTGAAATCAAATTGAAACATGTTCTGTAATGTCCCTCTGAAGTCAACAAGGCACAATGAGCACTAGAAACAATTTGTTATTGTTCTAAGCTCTTGTTGGTGTCCACAAATAACCTTATGTGAAAATGACACACAACAATAATTCACCTGAAGAGGGTGGTTAGGGTTTGGGGATTGACTTCAGGAATAAAGATAGATTTGGTCCATAAACGTAAAAAAAAAAAATTTAAAAAAAAATGGGGCGCCTGGGTGGCGCAGTCGGTTAAGCATCCGACTTCAGCCAGGTCACAATCTCGCGGTCCGTGAGTTCGAGCCCCGCGTCGGGCTCTGGGCTGATGGCTCAGAGCCTGGAGCCTGTTTCCGATTCTGTGTCTCCCTCTCTCTCTGCCCCTCCCCCGTTCATGCTCTGTCTCTCTCTGTCCCAAAAATAAATAAACGTAAAAAAAAAAAATTAAAAAAAAAAAAAAAAAGATAGATTTGGTCCATACTACCTACACCCCACCAGTTGAGCTAGCCCAACACCTCATCTGATGACAATAATAAGAGGAATAATAATTCAACAAGCTGATGTTGCTGTAGTGTTTTATAATTTACGAAGAGGTTTTTATTTACCTTATTCAGATTCTCCCACGAGCCCCTTGAGGTCGACGAAGCCATGATTATAAATTCCTCCTGTCACAAATGAGGAAGCCAAGGCTTAGAGAGATTGCACGGCACAGCTGAGACTGAATTTCAAATGTCTTGATTCTCTGCAGAGTGACCTGTCCCCATTCCAATCTGGTCATTTGGCAGAACTCTTGTTGCTGCGGGAGAAGAGTCCAAACAAAACAGAGGATGGATCCTGTCCACATGCCCTTGACATGTTCTGGGACATGATTCCTAACACTCTCATGTTATGAATTTCCTGAGGACTCTTCTGTGATGACCTCTGTGTGCTTAACCAATATCGTAAGCATCAATTGTTTTGGAATAAAACAAAATAAAATCAACCACATAAAAAAACTTTTATCAGAAAGCATTTGGTGAGTACAATGAAGGGAGGGATTGGAAAAGTGAGAAGTGTGATGCTTTGAGAGTTTTATCTTTGTCTTTTCCTGTTATTAATCAAGTTAATCTTGTTTCCTTGCTTCTCAAGGTACAGAGTTTGCTGGAAAATTCCTCATGTTTCATGTCTCCTTTTTTTGATCCCATTTTTGATTGACAGTGGATGGAGGTGGTCAATATACCAGAGCGCCATGAAGTGACAAAGAGCATTTCTTGAAGAAACCTCAGCAGAGTGATGTGAGTGTTTGACAGCTTTTCTTTCACTTGTATGAAGACTGTAAGCTACTTTTCTAAGCCCTCTCCCAGTTTTGACATGCAGGCTCCTGTCCAAGTGTAGACCAGCTTCCTGAAATATTAATTTAGAAATTGTCCAGTAGAGAGATTCAGAATGGCAATAGAAGACAGCATTCTGAGATTTATCAGACTGTTGATTTAGCGTGTTTGGACCTAAAGTTTCTAGTTTCACTGAATTTTATTGTTGTATTTGGGGGCTTTTCTTTTTCAACTGCCATATCCAACCTGTCAGAAGCCCTGTATGGCCCACCATTTCATCATGTGTCTCCCTTCCTCTCTCTGTGATTCCACTACCGTTGCCTCATCCAGGCTTGTGCACTTCTCAAATACATCAGTCCATCAACTTTCTTATTGGTCTCTCCGCCTCCATTTTGGTCCCCACCCACACTCACTCTTCATGGTGCTGAGTGGGATTGTTATAAAAGACAATTCTAATCATGATGCTCCTTATTTTGACTCTTCCGCTGTTGCCTTATAGTTTTAACTAGTTTAGCTCAGAAGACTTTCTAGATGTTGACTCTTCCCTCCTCTATAGCCATGTTTTTCACTCAAGTACCCTTTGTGTAGCCAAACGAAACCACATGCAGTTGTCTGAAGGTACCATGGTATCCCAGAGAAGTTACTTTAATCCTCTGTCAGGGATAACCCTACTGCACACCCAGGTGCTGAACTGATTCCAGAAGGTTTGGGCAGTCAAGGATGATGCGGCAGTGCCAGCCTGACAGCTGGCTCAGCTCCTGCCTGCTTGTGCAGAGAGGCTGCCCATGTGATAGGATTCAGGGACAAGCAGCATCCCTCTCCTCCTCCTTCTCTACATGCCTGCAACTGTGCCGCAAATACAATATTTCCCGGTGATAGTCCTTGTCCCATTAAGATTTTGGCTTCCAATGTCAAATACAACGAAAGTATAAGTGGTCATAACGATGTTTAAATCCATTCTTTAGAAAACTGAACCAGCGGCGCCTGGGTGGCTCAGTTGGTTGAGCGTCCGACTTTGGCTAAGGTCATGAACTCACAGCTTGTGAGTTCAAGCCCCACATCGGGCTTCGTGTGGACAGCTCAGAGCCTGGAGCCTGCGTTGGATTCTGTGTCTCCCTCTCTCTGCCCCTCCCCCACTTGTGCTCTGTCTCTCTGTCTCTCTCTCTCTCAAAAATAAATAAACATTAAAAAAAAATTAAAAACAAAAAAGAAAAGAAAACTGATGCAGAGGCTCCTTTTAAAAAGTTATTTCCCTAAGGGGCACCTGGGTGGCTCAGTCAGGTAAGCGTCCGACTCTTGATTTCAGCTCAGGTAATGATCTCACAGTTCTGTGGGTTTGAGTCCCACATTGGGCTCTGTGCTGATGGCATGGAGCCTGCTTGGGATTCTCTCCCTCTCTCTCTGCCCCTTCCCTGCTCACTCTCTCTCTTTCTTTCAAAAGAAAAAAAAAAAAAAAAAAGGTTGTTTCCCTAAGATCACACAGTGGGCTGGAACCCAGGGGTCTTGGCCTCCCGTTCTGATGCTTCCTATGCCGTGATTCTGCTGCCGGTTAAAGAGGTCATTCTCAGTTCTACGTGTGTAGGATGGCCTGGCATAATGGCTGTGGTGTAGATTCCTGGGCCCTGCCTTCTAGAGCCCTAGAGTTACTAGGTCTCTGTGGACTTGGGAGTCTCCATCTTATGCCATCCCCTGGGGCATTCAGATGCAGGACAGAGATGAAAGGCTAAGCTCATTAGAGTGAGTTCCTTTCTCAGGGGATTTGTGTCTGTTGGGTAACCTAGGTCTGCCAGTTAGGCTTGTATGAAAGCTAAATATTTGAGAGGGGCAGGGATGTAATCTGCTGCCTTATATATGCTTCTTATATAAAATGTTACTTATTTCTGGGGCACCTGGGTGGCTCAGTTAGTTAAGCGTCCAACTCTTGTTTTCGGCTTAGTTGATGATCTCATGGTCTCGTGAGTTCAAGCCCTGTGTTGGGCTTTGTGCTGACAGTGTGGAGCCTACTTGGGATTCTCTGTCTCACTGTCTCTGTCTTTCTTAAAATGCATAAATAAATAAAAACTTCTTTAAAAATGTTATTTATTTTTAAAAAGAACAGAATTAGGCTCTTGAAATTTACCCTCTACTTAGAAACAGTAACTGCCATCAGTGGATATAAGAGGACTAACAGACAAATGTCTGGGGGCGATGTGCACTCAGGGCTCATCAATTCTCCGTCTACCACAGGGCCCTGCTGTCATGCATGGCTCTTGGACTTTCACTGAGAGCCAGTCCCAGTTAGTCACAGTATGGGGAACAGTTGTTGGCCACTTTCCAAGCCTCTGTGGTTTGGGCTATTTGTAGCTTGTCCCTCGATTTCCTGGCATTTTGTCCACAAAGTGCGTAACAGAAGGGAGTGGCATCTTAATCCTTGGCACAGGTTTTATAACCTTCTACAGAATTTCCCAACACTGTGAAAAAAATGGTTCCACGGTTCCTCTTTCTTCTAACCAAAGGTTTGGTTTGGTTTTGTTTTGTTTTAAGGAGACTGGACTGTTTTCTTCTAACTATATAAAACTTTCAAATTAAGTAGAAAACGTTCATGAAAGCACTATTTATAGACTAGAGGGAGCCCTTTAGGGGCAGGATTTGATACTACTCATCTTGTCCCCTTGGGATCAACACTGAGCACGTGTCTTAGTGAGTCTTAGTGGTGTGGTTTTTCTTTGCAGGGGTGATCATTTGGTTCGATAACACCAAAGGCTGGATGAATTTACCCAGAGAGGACCGTAATGAAAATCTGAAATAACCTTTATAATTTTCAAGTGAGGAAATGAAGGCCAAACATGAGAGGCTACAATAAGAGTATACTGGGTACGTATGAATCCAGGGGGCTCTGGATAGGAAGAAAGGAAATGGGTTACATTTCAAGGCATTTATGATTCTCTGATTAACCAGCCTCCCAGGCTTGCCTCCATGGGGTCCATAGGCCCCTAAGATACTGACACATCACCGGACGGGCTGATTGTAAGATTCTCTGGGGTTTTAAATCCAGGTGATCTCCTAACAGCTTTCTGAGCACTTTCATTTGATCTCCTGTTTGTTTCACAACAGGAGATGTAGAGATATCTATGAGAAAGGGAGGGCCTTTGATTTTGAAGGGCAGCATTCCTGGGCACAGTCATGGCTTACTTCTTTTGAAGAAAGGAGGTTAGGGTTTTAGTAATAGCGGAATCATTTCTCCTTGACAGAGAAGGAGCTTCATTTCAGTTTAGCCTGCGTCTTAGTGATAATGGGTATGTGTGTGTGTGTGTGTGTGTGTGTGTGTATAGTAGATGTATGTATATATATGTATACTAGGTGTATGGTATATGTATATGTATATGTATATGTGTATGTGTATATATATATGTATATATATGCTAACAGTGTCTATCTGTCCCTGAAGTTGTGGATGTTTCCTGATTTTATGGCATTAGTGTCTCCTGGCATCTCAGTGGAGGACACCTCACTTTAGATTTCAATCCAATAGAATCTGGACTCTCTCTGATCCCTCAGTGACTCTTCAGGCAAGGACACTGGTGGGGAAGGTGGATTGAAAACCAATGGAGACTTAGATGGGAATCCCTTATTAAGTATGCTAAAAAGATAATTTTTGACGTTCCACTCTTATAACATTTTATCTCTGTATTAAAAGAACAGGGTAAACTAAGTCTGTGATAGCCTTTAACACCTTTTTCCTTTTCCCTCATATTCCTTCTTATTTAAAATTAAATCTTTCCACGGACTGGACACTAAGAGCTGACTTCTCTGTGCAGTGTCACAGTGTTGCTGGACTGTTCCTCTCTATTTCCTAATCACAGTCCCTCAACTTTCCCAAGGTTTATTCCCACTTCAGCTTCAGTCTCTGCTTAACCCTCTACTCCTTAAAAATAAGGCCTTCCCAGGGCGCCTGGGTGGCGCAGTCGGTTAGGCGTCCGACTTCAGCCAGGTCATGATCTCGCGGTCCGTGAGTTCGAGCCCCGAGTCAGGCTCTGGGCTGATGGCTCAGAGCCTGGAGCCTGTTTCCGATTCTGTGTCTCCCTCTCTCTCTGCCCCTCCCCCATTCATGCTCTGTCTCTCTCTGTCCCAAAAATAAATAAACGTTGAAAAAAAAAAAATAAGGCCTTCCCAGGCTCTTCTTCATAACCTAACAATCTCTTATCTCCCCTTTCTCAACATCCTAGTCTCATTTCCTGCTTGTTTTTTTGTATCACCACTCTGTTAGTTCGACTTGTTTAGCTAGAAATTGAGCTCTCTAAGGATAGGGATTTTTATGTGTTTTGTTTATGTGCTGTGTCCTTAGCACCTTGAAGACTATCTGATGCACAGCAATTGCTGAATAAATGTTTGTTGGATGAATCGAATGTGTGGGGAGGTAAAATACTGAAGTGAAGTACTGCTAGAGCAAAGAAAGAAGAAAAACGTAAACATAAGCTTAGCGTCTCCTCTCCTGCTGCCGGCTTCTTAGCACTCCCAGATCCCATGTTCTGAGATGTGTGACCAGAGTCTGCGTTAGATAAATAGGTTAAGGACAAAAAGGCAGGGGGCACCAAACTGTGTCTTGTAACCGAGAAGCACAGGCTTGGGTCTGGGGATGCAAAACAGCTCAAGGACCCTGGCTCTCCAGCAGTTTGTTCTCTGCTTCTACAGTACTTCTTGGCTTCATTCTTCTGGTGCCCTCACATGGCGGAGAGGACATAGCTGCTGCGAGCTCTAAAATAGTATCTTTAGGGGTACCTGGCTGGCTCAGTCAGTCAAACATGTGACTTTTGATCCTGGGGTTGTGAGTTCAAGCCCCATGTTGGGTGAAGAGCTTAAAATAAGTGAGTAAGTCAGTAAGTAAATAGTACCTTTATAGCTCTCAGTTGGAAAGAACATTTTTCTCACTGTCTGCATATAAAATTCTGGAAAGTAACTCCATTTGGTCTAACTTGGCCAACTCTTCCAACTACGGTCTCTAACCAGTCCAAGCTCCTCTGCTCGCCATATGACAGACCAGTAAGTCAAGAGGCAAGATGTTGGGGCAAGGAAAGCAACTTTATGTGGAAAGCCAGCTTACCAAGGAAATGGCAGACTACTGTCCCAAACAACCATGTCCTCTAACAATGAAATTTAACCTTCTTTTATGTCAGCAAAAGGGGAAGCGGGAGAGGGTTGAGTCAATGGGTGATTAATATCTGTAGACTTCTGAGGAAAGTCACGTAACTTCTTTGTCCTTGGTCAATTGATCTTTGTGTACAGACATCTGGTCATGTTGTTCCTGTAAATCTTAGACATAGCATAGTCATTTCTGCATGTACTTCCTTATTTCCCCAAGAGAGGTAGGTTTCGGGGTGTGGAGGGGGGTAAGCAGTTTTCACAAATCTTAGCTGTAAGCAAAATTCCTTCAGTGATTAACATGCCTATGTGGAGGGCCCATCAGAAGTTTCTAAGCTATAGGTCACAGTACCCGGGAGATAGAAACAATATGGAGTCAGACATGCTAAGCTTCTCCCTGGTACAGATCTAAGCTCTAAGAAAGCAGGAACATTTTTACTTTTGCTCACTGCTGAATTTTAAGATCCTAGAATAGTACATGGCACAAAGTAGGTGCTTAATAATTGCTGAAGGGACAAATGAATCACTGTGACAGGAACAGGATGCTGACTGGCAGCTCCACTATCATCAGATGAAATGAGGGAGGTGTTGTTAGCCCTGCCCCCCACCAAAAATATTAAATAGACCAAGAGAGGACGGGATGCTGGGCAGCTAAAATATTAGGTGACCACCATAGAGTCTAAAAGTCTTTATGATTATTTTTTTCAATCAGAAGTAGTAATTTTCCATTGTAATCTAAGAGTGCCTTTCTGGGAGAGCTTTGAGTGAAGGGGTTAAGGATTAAGATTGACATGAACTGTGGCCATCTTCCACGTGTTAGCATGTTAGGACAAAATGCCATCTTTCTAGTAAAAACTTTTACAGAAATGAAAAGATTAAATGTGTAAAGGGACTGATGGATGGATACATAGGCACACTTAGATCATTTTAGAAATTGGTAAACAATATCACACTTGAATTTTAAAAAATTTAAATGTAGGAAGGAATATATGTAGTGCATTTTCACAGATTAAAAGAAGGAAAAGTCCGGGGCGCCTGGGTGGCTCAGTCGGTTAAGTGTCCGACTTCGGCTCCGGTCATGATCTCGCGGTCCGTGAGTTTGAGCCCCATGTCGGGCTGTGTGCTGACAGCTCAGAGCCTGGAGCCTGTTTCCGATTCTGTGTCTCCCTCTCTCTCTGACCCTCCCCCCGTTCGTGCTCTGTCTCTCTCTGTCTCAGAAATAAATAAATGTTAAAAAAAAAAATTTTTTTTTTTTTTTAAATAAAAGAAGGAAAAGTCCTCTATGGGCAACTCAGCAAAATTTCCTAACATTTACATTAGAAATTTAAAAATCTCTAAAATTATTTAAAAAAATTTTTTTAATGTTTTATTTAATTTTGAGACAGAGTATGAGCAGGGACAGGGCAGAGAGAGAGGGAGACACAGAATCCAAAGCAGTCTCCAGGCTCCGAACTGTCAGCACAGAGCCGGACGCAGGGCTTGAACTCATGAACCGGGAGATCATGACCTGAGCTGAAGTTGGATGCCCAACCAACTGAGCCACCTGGGTGGCCCTAAAATTATTTTTATATTCTGGTTAGTGAAAATAGGAGTTTTTCCAAAAATGTCTCCTGAGGAAATAATAACAAATGTGCAAAAAATTATGTAAAGTCACAATTGCAGTTACTTATAATAGAAAAAAAAAACCCACAACTGCTAAAAAACAGGAATTAGCTAACCTGTGGTATATTCGTATATAGAATAAGACCAAAGTCATGTTTTAGAACACAATAACACAGAAAATTATTCCCAGGATACTGTTAATTGAAAAAAGCATGATTGGAGATCATGATGTGGAGCATGATTCCAGTTTTATTTAAATACCTATAATTTGAACAGTGTGGTTCTCTTGACAAAAAGGATTAAATTATTACTGGTGGATTTTATTTTTTTCCTTTGTGCTTTTCTGTGAATTTTGAATTTTTTGTGTGTGAACATGTATTTCTTTTGTAACAACATCAAACACAAAAGACCTTAACATATTTGTTTGTAATTTTTCCAACATTCTTTGTATATAGAGCTTAAATAGCTAACCAGTCTTATGAAGTACTCCTGGTTATATTTGGCATGCTGAAATTTATACTGAGGCATTTTTTTATTAATTTTTTTTCAAAATATAATTTATTGTCAAGTTGGCTAACATACAGCGTGTCGAGTGTGCTCTTGGTTTGGGGGTAGATTCCCATGGTTCATCACTTACATACAACACGCAGTGCTCATCCCAACAAGTGCCCTCCTCAATGTATACTGAGGCATTTTAAAATGTATACATCCTGTGGGCCTTTTCTTCTTTTTGGCTAGAGGGATTTGGTCCTGTAGCTTTTGTTTCTGCCATAATTGCACATGCTACCACTTTTCAAATGATCTGCACCAAAATTCCCTGCAAGAAGAAAGTGTCTAGGAGTTACTGCAGAGAACCCACAGGAAGCATAAAATGAAACTTTACCTGTAATGGAAGTAGGTAGGAGTGCCTGGTTGGCTCTGTCCATGGAGCATTGGACTCTTGGTCTTGGGGTTGTGAGTTCAAGCCACATGCTGGGTGAAGAGATAACATAAATGTGACAGAAGCCTCGATTTGCTTTCTCTTGTAAAATCTACCACCAATGGGATGCTAGCAAGCACTGTGAAGAGCTCAACTACGGGATCTGTGGATAGAATTAGAACAATGTGGGAGGAATGGACAAGGTAACTTCAAG